AAGAGAAGAGTCCATGAAATGATACAGATTAAAAAACATAACAATGCTATGAATTTTAGATCGGATACCGACAATCTTAGCTCAGTATATCATACATTAATTAAATGAAATGACCATTAGAAATTAACTAACACCCGGTATATTGAAGAATTTTGCAAACCAAAAATAATGTTCTCAGAATTCAAAGAAAAATAGCTGAAAGTAAAAGAAATCAATATAAACAATATTTTATTCGCTTTGTGTCCAAAATGGACAAAATTAATACTCCAAATGTATGCCAAGGCTTAAAGCAGCAACAACGCTACACGTGTAAGGAAAAATATTTAAGTATCTGAACAAAGAATTCTAGTCTCTTCCCAAATTTGATTGTCCTGACTAATCACCTGTTAGGCCTAATTAATCTTAGAATGTTTTAAAGTGTTGCAATTGTGATGTATTTTAATGTGTGATATGATGAGGTTGTTGACGAACTGTGATTGTTTTTTAAATTAATGAAATTTTTTTTTAGCTATGTTATTTTAGAAAAACTGATGATGGTGGAAAAATACACCGAAACGTATTTTAATTGATAAATAAAGACAATAAATGACTGAAAACCAGGAATTAATTTGATTTGGAATTGAAACACAGTCAGGAAAATATATACAATTTATTATTATTGCATTATTTTTTTGAAAATTATTAAATCTCTGCAAATTCCCCAAATTTACATCATTTTCACCTTAAAGAAGCGAGGAATGTGAAGAGCGCATTGAAAATCAGACTAGAACCGACAACTACAAAATAATTTATATTTTTGGCCCATTTTAGCGGTTTTGATCAGCCACGATCGTCAATGGAGGATATCTTAGTTATAATAGACTCAAACACGTTACATATGCATATCGTGGAACTTATTAGGTCGAAAGCAATCAATTGAGCTGAGAAAACATGCATACAAAATTTTGAGTTTTGTTCGAAGATTTCATTAATTTCAAAAATTTGAAATCTTTCAAAATCCTTGAACTTCTGCATTATTTTCATCTCAAGGAAACGTGGAGTGAAACAAGCTCATTGAAAAAGACGCCAGAAGCTTCAAATTCGAAATAATTTCCAGTTTTGGCCCATTTTTTCGCAGATTTGATTGCTCACTATTTTCAGTCGACGATATCTTCTTAATCATAGACTCAAACACGCATGGCCACCCTTCAAGATGCCGGCGTTTTGTGCTTGTAAAACGTTGGAAATATTTTTTCCTCAAAAAAACCCCTAAAAGCTCATCAGTTTCGGGCAGTTGCTGCGAAACCTCAACTATTCGAATAATAATAATAGTCGCTTTAAAAGCATTTTGTATGACCCAAAATGAAACATAACTGCGTTTTTGCCCACGAAAAAAGCAGTAGTTCTTCGGCCGACAAGAGATTACAGATAGCATCAGATAATCTCAATTTTGAAAAGCGTGCACAAACGTGGGAGGATCCTTATCTTGAAGTATCATCAACCGACGTTGGATGGCCTAAATAATATAATCCTTTGGAATCTCAAAAGAAGAAAGGAATTTGAAC